TAGGTAATTCTAGCTCGCGGCAGAGCAACAATCTGGCAAAATGCAAAGATTCAATTTGTCGTTGATAGCTAATTTATTCCCCTCCGTGAAATGCTCACTGAAATGTATAATCTCTTAATATTATACAGAAGTAACTTTATATAATAAATAACTGTATAAACATCATACGAATGACTTTATAACTTTTTTTTTTTTTTTTTATACTGACACACCTCCGATGTGGGAGTCGGAGTCCTTGTTTACAGTTTTTCTTACTTGCTATTACATTGTTTTTTAAGCGGTATTCTACATACAGTCTTACTTTCTATTTGTACTTTAGATTTACAGTATTTTTACATTTTCCTTATGATTTATCTTATTATTACTAGTTTTGTTATTTTTATAACTTATTACATATTCCTTATTTCTATTACATATACTTACTTAGTTCTATCTCTAACATTTTACTTTTATACTTAAATTTCATGCACAATACCATCATAATGTTGTTATGGTGGATTTACAATTTTCATACTTATATTGTTTTACATTGTAATGGATATAGCACTTTTTTTTTTCTTTTTTTTTTTTTTTTTTTTCTAAATCTTAGTGCTATGTCGTTTATTCGCTATTTTTGTAATAAAAGAACAAAATGCTAAAAATATACTGCGATATTGTTTATTTGCTAGAATAGTGTGTAGGTTGTCTAGTTTGAGTTCCATTCTTATTTGTGCTTCCAAGTGATGGCGTGCCATGCAGAATCTCGGACAGTTAATAATCAAATGGATGCTTGTTTCCATTTCGTTAGAATCGCAAATGCATCTGGGGTCAGTAATGCATTTAAATCTTGTCAGGTATTCTGCATAGCCGCCATGACCCGTGATTGCCTGTACTTGTGTTGGCGTCAGTGTGATGTTTCTTATGATTTTGTAGCTGTTTATGATGTCTGGGAAGAAGATTTTAGTAGTTTTGCCAGTTGGTCCATTTTGGTAGGCTCTATCCCAGACATCAATGGTATGTGCTCTGATTAATCTTTTGATGGTGGATATCGGATATTTGTCGTAGCAGGGGGCGATCTTTTTATTTTTGGCTGCTTCTTTAGCTAAGAAGTCCGCTCGCTCATTCCCTGGGATTCCCGTGTGCGCTCTGACCCAAAATAGTCTAAGTATTTTATTTTGTGCTGACAGTTTTTTCAGATCTTTCTTTATGGGAAGCGCTAAGGGATGGGTTGTGTCGGTCCTTCTCAGGAGATCCAGGGAAGATCTTGAGTCACTGAAGACGTTGATCGAGTACTCCTTAGTCCCGAGGGCGACCTGGAGGGCCTGGCGCAGTGCGTACATCTCCGCCTGGAATACTGAGCAGAAAGGAGCCAAGCTATACTTTCTGCTTAGTATTTCACGCTCGTTGTTCCAACAGGAGATGGCCGCGCCCACGCCATCCTCTACCTTGCTGCCGTCCGTGAAGATGCACAGCCCTTTAATGCTGTGCCTCTCCACGGTTTCCGGCTGCAAGTCCTCGAGACAGGTGTATTCGATCGATGTCTCCATCGCGGGGTGAGGCAATTCAAGGAATGGAACCTTGTTTTCGACTTCCCTGCCTTTAAGCTGTTCCATTGGTTTTCCCCTTTTTATTTCGTAGATCTTGGCGGCTTCTGCTATTCTTAATTCTAAAGGCAGAAGACCTGCAAGCGCCAGGGCGGCATCGAATGATACCGTCCTATACGTCTTGCAAATCTTCTGCGCGAATCCTCTTTGTACATTATGTAATACTTTTCTGTTACCGATCTTTGCTGCCTCACTCGCCCAAACACTGCTCGCATACATGATGATTGGTTCAGCCACCGCCGTATATATCGTCCTTACTATCTCCGAGCTCAGGCCCCAATTAATTTTTGCTGATCTTGCAAGAGGTTTGTATATTTCAACTACTTTTTTACTTACTGTTCTTATGTGTTCTTTAAAATTTAGTTTATTATCTACTATTAATCCTAATATTTTAATTTTATCAGTCAATACTATTTGTCTCCCGCCCATGTGTATGCGGGGGGTGTCATATTTTAATTTGCGCGTGATTACCATAGCTTGAGTTTTTTGCGGCGCGAATTTTAATTTGTTATTGACACCCCACTCATACACATGGTCGAGGGCCAGTTTTGATTTCCGCTCTATTTCAGTAGTCTGATCTTCGGAGATTGTAATGACGATATCATCGGCGAAGGCTTGAACATATATACCCATATCGTCTAACTCCCGCAGTAAATCGTCCAATAAGACTATCCAAAACAGGGGACCGCCTATTGATCCCTGGATACAGCCTTTGTTGGTGGTTTTTGTGTGGTTTGTTCCCGCATATTTGACTTCAACAGAGCGACCGTTAAGGTAGCTCTGGGCTAGCCCAAATATGTTGCGGGGGCATCCCTTATCCGCCAATCGGCATTTTATGGCTGGCCACCAAGCACTGTCGAAAGCTCCCTCTATGTCGAGTGATATTACTGCAATTATTTTTTTACGGAAAATACCATCTCGGATATGGTTCACCATATCGTAGAGGGAGTCTTCCGTACTACGCTGGGGCACAAAGCCATATTGCCTTAAGCTGATCTTGGGCATTACATGCCACCGAATCCTGCGAACCATCGCCTTTTCCAGCATTTTGCCGAGCAGCGGTAGTAGTCCTATTGGTCGAAAAGCCTTAGGATTGGCGTAATCGCCTTTCCCGGGCTTCCGTAGAACCACTGCCGTTGCCTTTTTCCAATCTGCTGGGAAATGCGACAGTTCTAGGCACTTGTTTAGGATTGTCACGAAAAGCGAGGGGTCTGTCATTATAGCCGTCCGACATATATCGGCTGTAAAGCCGTCATGTCCGGGTGCTTTTTTAGGATTAAAACTATCTGCGACAGTGATTATTTCTACGCTTGTGAAGGGAGGATCATCCTTCGTTTTTATTTCAGTCAAGATTCCTGCAGCTCTTTCCCTGGTTCTTCTATGGTGTTCTGTATCTTCCTTCTCTATGTCCTCGGGGAAAAATGTCTCTGCAAGGAGTTTTGCTGATTCTGCGGGAGACAGGACCGTGTCTTCTTTTATAAGAAGCTGGTCTTCTTGCCTTTTTGACGTCCTCCTAAGGACCCTATATATTCCGTCCCATAGGCTCCCACGGTTCTGTTTCCCACAGAATTCCTTCCAACTATCGATTTGGGCCCTCTCCGCTGCTGTTTCATACTTGAGCCGAGCACTCAGGTAGACACCTACCACATGCTCCCTTCTGGATCTGGCTGAGCAGGGTATACGGCGTTTTTTTGTGACCATATCGCGCTTTAGTTTTTCCAGTTCCTCGGACCACCATGGAATTTTAACTGTATTTTTTATTTTCTTTTTAGGTATATTTTTTGGCATGCTATTGTTATGGATTCTTGATATTTTTCTATTACTATTTCTAATTCTTGTATTTCCTTTATTTCCGATATTTCTTCTAGTTTGATTTTATTATTTTCTAATTCTCTTCTAAAGTCCTCTTTAAATTTCTCCCACTTTGCTTTTTTGGTATTGTATTTCCTGGTGGTACCGGTTGGAATTGGCTCGCTATTAGCTTCCATTACCAAATCGAAGCAGATGGTGTTGTGATCGGAACTTGTCATGGCCTGCTCTACCCTCCAATTTTTGGCTTTACCCAACAATCCTTGGGTGCATGCAGTTATGTCTACGCAGCTCTTGTATTCGATGTTGTTACGGACTGTATAGAAAGTAGGGGTGTTTCCCTCATTAAGTATGTGTAGGTCCATTTCTCCGACAGCCCCCAGCAGAGTCTCCCCTCTTTGGTTAGTAATATTACTTCCCCACCATATATTCCACGCATTTACGTCACCTCCCATCAGGAAGTGGCCACTTGTATTTTGCTTCACTTTTCTTATATGGTCGAGGTAAGGCTCTACCGGTTAGCTGTCCTCGAAATAGACTGACGCTATGGTTATCGTCCAGGCACTTGTCCCAAGCTCTGCAACGGCAATATTTTCGGTTGTCAGTGTAGGATTGCAGATTATTTGCAGGTCCTCACTGTATACCAGTATTGCCGCTTTTACAGGCTTGGTACGGTTTCGAGTGCACTGGATGATCTTACACCCTCTTACAGCTGACATTTCTTTCAGTGCACCTACGTACGGTTCCTGGATTAGGGCGACTGATATTCCCCTCTTAGATGCTTCGATATGTAGTTCGTTCGTGGCTAGCTTGCTCCGCTGCAAGTTTGCTTGTGCCACTTTTATTTTTATTTTAGACGAACTACTACTATGTAGTGTGTTACCAGATGCCACCGGCACAACCTTAGCAATACGCAATGCTCGATCTGGCCAGTGCATCCCACTTGAGCCTGATCGGGCAGCACGCGTCAAAGCTATTGTGCTCCGCTTGGTTCATTTTTGCAACTGTGCAATTTCTGCATTGTGGTGCCCCTCCGTCCAAGCGGATTGGGCAGTCTTTATTGACGTGTGGGCCTGAGCAGTGGCTGCAAAGGTCAATTGACTCTTTGCACCACTTCTTACCATGGCCAAAACTGAGGCACCGCGAGCATTGTACCAGGGGTGTCTGGTCACACACTGAAACTCTTTGTAAGTCTATATGTATTTTACCGACCTCTGTTAATTTTACCCAAATTTTTGGGGGCACCTGGAGGACTACATGATTTTCATGCGGATTTCTAGCTTTTTTCCTATATCTTACTTTTATCTTACTTATTTCTTCTTCGGACACATCCGGTATTAAATGTTTATTCTGGTTACTAATTGATTGAATTATTTGTTCGTCTGTATTGTATGCTAATAAATTTTTGATCACTATTAATGGGTCTTTATTTTCTTTAGTTTCTGTATTTAATTTCTTGTCTGAATTTTTTAGTTTCTCTGTAATTTTATCTAAATCTATTTTGTTTCCACATCCTATTATTAATTTTTGATCTTTAGTCTTTCGAATATTGTCTACATTTATGCCTGAATTTCTTGCGTCTATTACTGTTTTTACTTTATCTAATACTTGGTCACTTGTGTCAGTTTTGTCTTCAGAAGAAACAAGTAGTACGTGTGTTTGATTAAATTTTTTCGTTATTTTGGGTTTCGCTGCTATGTCCGCATATGATTCTTGTTCTCTCCTTTTCTCGGCATTTTCTGTCATTTCCTTTAATTCCTTTACTTCCTTTCTGGTCTGCTCTGATATCTCCTTGTGTGCTTTAATCTCCTTCATTATATCTTCTAGTTGTTTCTTGCTTTCTTCTTGTGTTTCTTTGTTCATTTCTTTCTCTTCTTTAGCTTTTAACATTTGTATTGTATGAAGGTGTGCCAGTCTTTGGGCGTTTAGTCTTAGTATTATCTGATTTTGATAACCTAGATATCTCACTGTCATTTCCTTTATGTCAGTTCTTAGATTTCCGCGTGATTCCATTGCCAATTTGGCATCCTGATATAGTCCGTTGCCTATACCCTTTAAATCTTCTATATTTTCTGATTCTATGTCTATGTCCTTAAATATAAATTTATTCTCCTTTTTAGTATCGTTATTTTTATTTGCTGATCTTATACTTTTTGCCATTTTTATTGTATATATATAATGTATTTAGTGTGTATATTATACACACTTGTTGTAAAATGTATGTATATAAGTCGAAGTTAACTATCTAGTATTCCTGCAATAGCAGTTTGTAAATAATGTAATGTAATGTAAATATGTAAATATCAAATTTTTACAGTCCTTAGATCCTATTTAACTTAACTATACTTATACTATAAAATACCTCGAGTTTGGGCTCGATCGATCGGTCTTACCTTGCACTCCTCAGTCAATATCACTACAATTTTTTAATAACAATCCCCGTTTATGGGGTGGAAAAAACAGTTAAATCTCGCTATAAAAGCTAATTAAAGTAATAAATACTAAGTCAAAAATTCTCCAAAAATAATTCTTATGGCTAAACTTATTGTCTATTAATTTTCTATGAGGGTCGTGGTTAAATTTCTCAAGGGGTTGTCCCACCAAGTGTGCACCCTTAATTTTCAAAAAAAAGAAAAAAAGAAAAATCGTATCTCAGAAACTACAGCTTCAAATTTTTTTTTTTTTTTTTAATTTTAGAATGTACTTAGAACTAATTAATGTTTACAAATGCACCAAAATTTTTTTTTGGGGAAAAATTCAATTTTGAAAAATTAACAAATTTAAACTAACAAATTTAAATTTACAATATCTCTACAACTTTATAACTTAAAGCTTATGAGGAGACATCAAGTACTGGGGACCTATTTTGTTTTATATATTAACTAGCATTGCCCGCGGCTTCGCCCGCGTTCAGATGACCAAAAACCAAATTCTTAGGTTTTATATATTAGTATACTCTTACATTGTAGTTTTTATATTTTTTCTCAGAAATGAGATAATTTTCCGCGGTAAAATGTATCCTATATGTTGACCCGGATAACCAGCTATCACCATACCAAATTTCATCAAAATCTGTCCAGTGGTTTTCTCGTGATACGGTAACAGACAGACAGACAAACAAAAATTCTAAAAACTATAGATTCGGCCTCTGTATCGATAATAATGTCTATTTCAATAAGATTTTCCAGAAAATATCTAATGTACAGATTCGGCTTAGTTACAAATTTATTATATGTATAGATTATTGTCTGAAAAAAATAAATTAAAAAAAGCAATTGTGACAATCGATTTATTCAATTCAATTCTTTTATTACGTGGCTTCTATGAGTGACAGTTCGGCACAATTTACTTCGCCGATGTCGCGTACAATGGAGAAGACACGTTATATAGAGAATGACCAGTAAAAAAGAAGAAAAAAACACTAGATCTGATTACGCGTAGAAAAAGAGCGATTCGTTGTAAAATCAGGACCTACAACAGACAGCACAATACATATTACATATATATAAAATAAATACTGCCTCGGTGGTGTAGTGGCTAGCATGTACGGCTGCACACTCGGAGGTCCTGGGTCCCGGTTCGGGCCAAATTTAGTTATTGAGTCTTTCTGTATAGTAAGTCTCAGTAACAGCCCGGAGTTGGGAAGTTGGCGGTGTTTCACCCCCGTGCCTCGGAGAGCACGTAAAGCCGTTGGTTCTGCGCCTTAACTCTCACCGGTCGTATCGAGTGGTCGTCCCACCGGAGTATGAGTGATAGGAATAGAGAGTGCACTTGTGTCTGCGCGTACACTTGTGCACTATAATATCTCCTGCGCAGTTGGCTAGTCTCAATGAGATAGGCCGCCGTGGCCTGAATCGGTCAGGAGCACATCATATATAAAAACAATAAGGTAATCGATTTATAATACTTTGAGAATATATCATTACATAAAAAGCTCGAATGATAAGAATTTAATCATTATGATAATAGAGAAAGGGGAAGACATATTAAAATATTACGAAAGTAAAAATTGGCTTACATTTATCTCAAGGTTGTTTGTTTCGTCAAATAAGTTTTTTTTTATTTCTTCGAAGCACAAATCGTTTTTGCGAAGTCTACAAAACTATATAATTTGTCGACAAAATGTTTTAAAAATTAAATTATACTTAAATTAAAATACCTATGAATATTTTTAATTAAATAAAATAATTTATTATATATTTTTTTGGATCCGATTATTTTCGATGTCGAGTAAATTTACTTGACATAGATAGATTTAAAAATATAATTAAAGAAATGAAAATTGCAAAAGAAACCAATTTTTTTATGAAACAGAAGGCTTACTACAATAAAGGCAAATATATTTTTCAGTGTACGTTGTTTTCATGCCACTATAGAGTATGCAGCGCGTTAAACTAAGTAGGTATTTATGTAAATTTGTAATATTAAATTTACATAAGAACCTGCTTCATATATTATACACCAAGCGCCTAATATTCGTATGTTAAGCACTTTAACTGCACTTTTCCTGGTTATAGAGGAAACTAAAATATTTTGACATTTTAACAGCACATTTTGTTTATTTATACAAATGCTCTAAGATATGAATGTTGTATAGAATTTACTAATATTTTTGTTTCATAGATATGTATTATGCGTAGGTTTTTTTTTTTACTCATTAATATTGTACAACTAGCATTGCCTGCGGCTCCGCTCGCGTTCAGATGACCAAAAAACAAATTTTAGGTTTTACATATTAGTATACTCTTATATTGCAGTTTTTGTATTTTTTCTCAGAAATGAGACATTTTCCCGCAGTAAAAAGTTTATATGTTGACCCGGATATTCAGCTATCACCATACCAAATTTCATCAAAATCCCTCCAGTGGTTTTTCTGTGATGCGGTAACAAACAGACAGACAGACAGACAAAAATTCTAAAAACTATAGTTTCGGCCTCGGTATCGATAATAATGTTTCTATATTTCAATAAGATTTTCCAAAAAATATTTAATGTATAGATTAAGAGTTTATATACTTACTTTATGATATAACTTGCTTAGTTTTATAAAACAAAAACTAAGGTAACTTAAAATTACTCTTTATTTTAAAGAATAAACAAACGGACAAACAGCACTTATTAAGATGTAGAGTACCGATCCCATGTAAACCTACTGAGAGTAAAATGTAAACAAATATAGTGACCAAATGTAACACTGTCATATCGTACAGAAACAATAGAATAGTTATATACACAAATAATAAGCTTAAATCTCGGGGCAGTTGTAGTTAAATATGAATTTAGTAATTTTCGAGCTTTGACTACGTGATGTTTGCAATGCTTTGGTGATCAAAGTTTAACATTACATGCCTCAATATTAAGCATGCGGAATGATTTCCTTTGAATTCAACGTACCTGAGCTGCTTGTCTAATTACATTCAATGTTAACCGGATTTTTTTAAAATGTACATGAATATAATTTTAGTTGGCGTAGGATAGTGTGGGACCCCCCCCCCCCCAACGTGCGTTCACCTTGTTGTGGTGGGGGGGCTCAGTAGTAGTAGCGAAGCTAAGAAACGCACAGGGAGGTTGCCCACTTCGGTGGGCGGTGAGAGGTGGCCCTCTTCGGGGGGCGGTGTACCTTGCGGGTTGCTCCTGGTACTTCTCTGATAGCAGAGTGGACCTTGGAGCAACCCCATGGTTGTGGTGGTCTGCTTTGGCAGACCTGCCGTCGGGGCGTCGTAGTTGAATGCGTAAGCGATCCTGCGACGCCCCATTATGACAGGGGAAGGTTTTGTTGGGTTTTAGTGGGTAGTACTGGCTGAATTACGCCGGTGAGTCCCACACGTCGTGCGTAAATGCATTTCCCAACGTTAAAAAAAAAAAAAAAAAGGATAGTGTGGGACATTTTTTATCTACACCTTTCTAATACAGAGATTTGCAGAAGTGGATTAATTTTCATTAATATTTAAATGTAATTTTGGAATTTCGAAATAGTGTGGGTTATCTTTGATTTTAAAATTTTTCGTTCCTGTCACATAAACATCAATTTTTATACAATTGGCGGACTATCTATCTAGATCTTAATTGAATTATCAACGGACTAAAAAATATCTTTTCTACTTTAGCAAATTACTGACAGATAGGAGTTTCAGATGAGATGCTGATGCTGCTGCAGATGAGATGCTGATGCTGCTGCAGATGAGATGCTGATGCTGATCCTGGTAGAAAAAAAAATTATGACATTCTTCTGTATACGATGAATAAGGAAAAATAAACAGAGGACGTTTCACTAGTTTAAAATAACATAAAGCTTCGAATTTCTTAACTGATTTTTTTTTTCGCAGTTTTTTTATTGTTTTAATTTTTTTTAGAATTATTTAAACTTAAGCAACCTAATTAAATACGTATTTTTAAATTGTATGAATACGCCCTAAATAGAATTATTATAAAAATATTTATAAGTACAATTAACAAAGTATTGTAAAATTTCTATTTCTATTTTTATTATTTAATTTCTATTTTTCCAAATTATTGTATAATTTTGTTGATAAACACCTGTTATACTCGTAAGTATGACAATCGAGACGTCAAAAACCTTAGTGTATAGTGACCACGTTTATGGTAAATATCAAGACGTCGCATCGGTAATAAACAAAAAAAACTATTAAATTGTTTTACTACATTTAAAAAATTCGAATAAATCTAAAAAATTAATAAAGGTAAGAATTTTTTAAAGAGTGATCACTCATAATGTTTGTTATTATAAAGCTAACGGCTAATCGTAAATCTCGGGCGGAAAAGTAAAAAATCCAATTTTGACGTCTAATTCCTTACCGGGCGAGACATGCTCACTGAAGTATATAATGATCTTTTAATATTTATAGGATAACTAGCATTTCCCGCGGTTCCGTATGCCTTTAAATGAGCAAAACTCTTAGTTTTTATATATTAGTGTAGTATACCAGTTTCATCATACACGCCAAGATTGAAAAAAATGGCGTAATGTTGGCAATGGCACGAAGGTTTCTCTTTAATCTCATATTTAATTTTAGTAATATTGTATTTTCAATAATTTTCAATAACAACAATTACATTTATAGTATATCTATAATCCACATTCTAAGCTAATCTATACTATATACTATATCTATACTAATATTATAAAGAGGTAAAGTTTG